GGCGCACGGAACACTGCACAGCGGACAGGGCTCTGTGAAAGTGGCTGGCTGCACGCCGCGCTGTGCCGCTGTGCCCGGCAGCCCCGGCCCGGCAGCCCCGGCCCGGCAGTCTGGCAGTGCCGTACCCTCCGCGCGGAAACTCGATTTTCGCAACAATAGTAGTTCTGTAAGAGGGTGGGGCAGGCAGGCGGGCCGTGCCGGCGTGCCGGGCCCCAGGGGCTAAATAGGCCGAATGCGCGACACGACGAGGCAGCCCGATAGAGCAGCAGACACTGGCGGACGGCATCGCGCCAGGCATCGCACAGTGGGCCAGAAGGCCGGTGGAGGCGGCCAAACTCCAGACGCGTTTTGAGCTCCAGAGTCGCTAAATGGGACTCTTCCCGAGCGTGTGACCCCACCAATGGATTGCCCTCCGAACGAGGAATGGTGGGGTCACACGTTCTGTTTGAGGCCCATTTAACGAGTCTGGACCTCAAAACGCGTCCGGGATTTTGACCGCCCCCACCGGTCTTCTGGCCTACTGTGCATCGCGGGCATAGGCGACCCGGAGGACTTGGCCTTGCAAGGCGCTCGTCCGCTTCAGACTCTCGTAGACCGAGGAGCAGGGGTCAACAGCACCAACGCGTCTTAATTATATTCTCACAAAAAATAAAATAATTGGCGAATAATTAAGGGACGCGTAGCAATCTTACTGAAATGTAAAAATGACTCCCACTTCATAATTACCAAATGAAAGCTCTTTCATAATCCATTGGAAATTTGGGCCAAAAATTGAAGTATGCCCCTGGCCGCCGATGGAAATTCACTTTCGCAAACCTCTCGCGTTTCAAGCGTCTGGATTTCCCGAATCCAATTGCATTCTTTCTTATTCAATGAAAATGGACGGCTGAGGTAAGAAGTGGTTGGAGGGGAGCGGTCGGGCGGGGCGGGGACCAGCATCGGGTGGTTGAGGAGAATCGGAGCGTGCGCGACTCTCTCTCTCTCTCTCTCTCTCTCTCTCTCTCTCTCTCTCTCTCTCTCTCTCTCTCCCACCCGGCATGCCTCTCTTCCGCGACGAGCGCCAGAGTTGAGACAAATCAAATTTGCCCCTCTCCGTCTCTGTCTGCGTGCAAGGGGAACGAGGTGGATATCCAAAGCCCGCCCAAGCCTTTCCACGCCGTTACGTAGCATTTCGGAGTGGCGAATGAAACCGTAAATTCAATTACAATTATACAGCCGTCCTCCGTAGCCGCGCGTCGCACCCCCGCGGGGGCCCCGCCTCCCTTCCACTTTTCATTCCACTTCTTTGCCATTGTGTAGTGCCCCTTCATCCCCCACATTTGCATTCGGGAATCGCCACTCTGCAGTCCCACCTGGGCCCCGCCGGGGGTGCGCGGGGCGGCGCGGGTCCGAAGCCCCTGGGGCGAATCACATTAAGGGAACAGGTTGATTGGTATGCAGATAGGGCCAGTCAGGACAAGGCAGAGGCCGGCCAGGGTGACATTATTTCAGAGGCGTCGAGGCTTGTAAACGATTCCATCCCAGAGTGTCGGACAGGGATTTGGGGTCGCCGGGCCCGGCAGTTCAGCCCACACGAACGGCGGCCGACCCTCGCTCCTTGAGTAGAGAACAGTGAGACAAAGAGAAAAGTCCAGTGCAGACAAGTGCGAAATCCAGCCATCCAAACGAACTGGCCCTGAGCTCTGCGGCCTCGCAACAGGTTCGAAAGGCCCGCGTGCGTGCGGCATGCGTGCATGCGCGTGCGTGGCGTCGTAAAGGGCCACGCTTTATCCTGCCGGGCTTTACGCCCCCCCTCCTCTCTCCCTCTCTGTCACGGCCGCGCGCTGGCGTGCCAACGCGGCGCGAGCGAGAAGGACGTGGCGTCGATGGATGGCACGCAATACCTGGCGAGGGCGTGCTAACCGCGTGCACTATCTCCGGGACATGTGTGCCGACGAAACGGCACACCGCGTCGCCACAGCGGGCACGCACGCCGAGGTGGCAACGCGCATTAAAAGCACTGTTCAAAACGAGGAAGAGGATTCGAACACGCGGTCGCTGCCTTTGTGCACGCCGTCCCTCCCCGTTTCGCTGTACCATCCCAGGACTCCGAGGGGATATCGTGTGACCCGCGAGGTCTGAATAAATCCCGCGCCGCGTGGCGCAGCGTGGCAAGTCGAATCTGTCTTTTCTTTCTTTTTTCTTCAATTTTTTTTCTGCCGGCATTGCAGCGGCAGACCGGGCCGGGCAGACGTTACGTCCCCGCAGACTGGTTTGTTTCCAGATCAATCAAGTTTCCAGCTTTCCATGCATACCAACAAGCCTCCGTCGCGCACCTCTGCTCCGCGCTCCAGCCCAAGCCAGGCTCCAGCGGCTCCAGCCCCGCTTCAGCCTCGCTCCAGGGGCACGTGCGCCGAGCGCCAAAATAAAATCCACTTTTTTTTGCCACCTAAAGGCGAGTACCGTGCGCACGGCGCGGCACGGCGCGGCTCACCTTGTGTCTTGCCTCACTCTTCGGCCGGGCCGTTATAGAGGCCGATGTAAACAGGCAGTCAGGGGAGCCCAGCTGGCCGCGAGGGGCGTGGCGTGGCGGGGCGGGGCGGGCAAGGCGGCCGGGGCGTTTGCTCTAAAAGCAAACAACTTGCCGCCACACCCTGCCGCGCCGCTGCTGGCCCTTCTAACGCCAATACCCACTTTTTCCGCGTTTTGCGGGGCAACGGTTTAATGTACGAGACGAGCCGCGAACAAGGCGCCCCGCGTTTACGCCGGCCAGTTAATGGTTCGGCTTTACGGCAACTGTTATTCACCTGAATATTGCACCGTCTAATTAAGCCGTTACTTAGTCGGCGTTCCCTAAATCTTCACTAATGTGGCAAGCACGTCATGTTTACGGTGGCCGACCGTCCGCGCGGCCAGGCCGGCAGTCCGCATCAGCTCATTCCCGACGGACCAATTTGTAACGACGACGAAATGAAAGATCGCTAAGACGCTGGGCTTACATGCATCCATTCGGTGACACACGCGGTGGCTGTGGCGGGGGCGGGGGCGCGGCCGAGGGAGGGCAGCGCGGAGGGCAGCGCGAACTGCGGCGCCGGGGCACGCAGGAGCACGTCCAGCGTGGGGCGTTGGAGGTCCAGCGAGTCGAACAACGCGAACGCCGCGGAGTCGCCGCCGGCGAGCGCCGTCGTCGTCGTGGCTGGACTCTGCGGGGGCGGGAAGCCCACGAGGGACCCGGGGCGTTCCGTCGTGGCGCGCGGTGTCGGAGCGGCGGCGGGGGTGGAGGCGTCGGCGCTGGCTGCTGGGCTGCTAGGCCGGGGCGTACGTCCGCGATGTGCTCGTCAGTGACACGTGCCGCGGCGCGCCGCACCAGTCGCGGCCAGGCCAGGTGGGAGACTGTGGGGGGCAACCTCCCTGGCGGTGCTGGCCGTGCTAGCCTCGTGCCGGGCCGTGCGCCGCGCATCCGGCTTGCTGCCGGCCCCCTCCAGCCGGCCCGAGCCCCGAGCCTTGGGGCGGGGCGCGCGCCGCACCGCGCATGCGCGCCTATCCACGCCCAGCACGGCCCCGCGCCGCCCCGCCGGCCCTGCCCTGCCGGACAAGCCGCACAAAAATGTAGCGAATTGGCAGGCCCGTCCGCTATTTGTGGGGCTGCGCGACGAGCACCAGCTCCGCGAGCCCCGCGTGGGCGTGGACATGGTAGGCGGGGTGAGGGGGCGGGGGACGCACTCGTTGGTACGCTGTTCCATCGCCGAGCGGGTACTCCTGACCTGCTCCACTGAAATCCTTTTCCTTTCTCGGAAAGCAGAAATGAAAGGAAGGGCGGTCGCTGTCCCCGCCGGCCCCGGGCCGGGCTCAGAGGGGCAGCACTTTGGACGTGGGCGCGTCGACAGGCTCGCCGACACACCCGTGGCGACGAACGGGTTACACGACACGAAGCGCAGGCCGGCGCACGATGGTCGGCGAAACCGTCGGAAAACGGGAAGCGCGCTGCAGATCGGCGCCACTACGCCGTGACGCGCATTTCGAGGCAAAAAGTGATTAATTATGCGAAATAAAAGCGAAACCTGTTGCACTTGAAGTCGTCGCTTCAAGGAGCACGTCCGGGGGCAGCCATTGCGGCTGACTCGGCGGCGCTTCAAAGGCGGACCTAATTATTGGTGGGCAGCAGTTAACCACTGTGAAACACGATTAGCGAAAAACTGAACTAACGCCCGAACACGATTACCCGGGCACCGAATGGAAATTATTTAACGTCATAATCTAGTCGGTCTCTGGGAATCAAGTTCTTGTTTGTACCGCAAACAATGGCGGAGGCACGGAGATGAAATGTGTCCATCGTTTACACCGTGAGTCGCACCGACGCGAGTCTACGAAGCGCAGGGAAACAAGTGCGACAGCGGATTTGCACGAATGTACCGCAGGCAACCCATCCACCGCGCGCCACCGCTGGGCTGCGACCTCTCCGCCACGTCAAGTGAGGAACTTTCGCGGAGAGTGCTCCGCGCGCTCCTGTTTTAGAAAATAGTCCCGACAAGAGTTGTGTTTCCTGCTGAGCCGCGGCCTGGCAATGCCCTGTCAAACAGGCTGGCCGGCGTGTTTACATGCAAGCAAATAAACCGAAGGGTAAAACCAGACCGGCTAAACTTAGACCCATTTCTCCTTCGGCCGACTCGGCCAGCTTCGCTTGCCGGCCAGCCGCCACACGCGGACTCCAACATTTTCATCGAAACAACGTCCCTTTTATTCGTTGACAGCGATGTCGCCCGCTGGGTCGTTAGAGGGCGATTCAGAGCGTACCGAGGCCACGTGGGAACGGGGCAGTTGCCCGGCCCCCTGTGGCGCAGGCAGTACAGTTTTCCGAATCACGGCCTCACTTGTATTCCGAAATGATCATTTTGAAGAGGAAAAACGGGTGACGGTGGTGGGCGGCGAACTATGAACCTGCCGCGCCGGAAACGAGCACGCAGTCCACTACACTACCGCGGCACCCGGCACCACGCCGCGACGAATGTTTTCCAACTCACAATGGGCTCCTGGTAGCTGAACGTCGGGTGCGCGGCCAGGCCGAAGACGTGCACCATGACGTCGTCGCACCACCGGTCCAGGTCCAGAGCGCTCTGGGACGCCACCGTAACACAACACACAGCGCGGCGAGGGAAGACCACAGGGCGCGAAGCGTGGCGCGAGGACCCGACCGCGTCGCAGGACTGCTCTCCACTCACTGAATGGGTAGGGCACCCTGAGGCCCCGAGGCCGGCCCACCCCGGCCCACCACACAGCGCGGCGCGGCACGGCCCGGCAACGCGCGCGGCGCGGCGCAGCGCGGCGCACAAGGCGGTCTAGAAGGGCGGCGCGCAGCCCGTCCCGTGCTCGGCCGGTTCCTTTCTGGGCGTGGCGGCCAGTACCTGTTCGGCGTTGTGAGAAAAGTCGCCCAGGCACCTGAAGAAGCCATCGGCGAGTAACGTGGAAAACCAAAGCACGACCCTTGCGCCGCGCTCCAACGAATTACTCTTTTATGTATTTTGATCGAAACAGTATCGGGCCGCAATGTTCCACCAAAGTTGTTAGGGGGAGGCCGCCGCCAGGCCGGCGCGATGCACGCATTGGTGGCGTACCGGCTGCTATGTTAATGTTTATCTTGCCAACTTTGGACGGACTAAGGCGACGGCTGGCTCACCGCATACGTGATGAGATGAATCCAAACTGATGAGCCGCGGCGTCGCCGCGCCGTCGCCGTGCCGTCGCCGTTCCGTCGCCGGCCAAAACCTTGCCGTGCTACCGTGTTGGCAGTGGATTCAAAACCCGGATTGTTTGGGGCGGAATCAGGGCGAGCGGATAAGGGCCGACCAAGGAGGTTCCTCGGGGTTGGTCCGCACCGGAGGGGCTTCTCGCTGCTTCTCGCTCGTCTCATGTGGCGAGGGTCAGACTGCCCTAATTTCGAGTCACGACGCGATGCGCCGTCCCTACAGCAGCAGCCCTTGCCTCAGCATGCCGCCCCCTCCTCCTCTGGGTCAAAGACCCTCGTCGTTTGTTTTTATTTTCACTGGCGACGCAGCGGGTCGACCGCCGCCTTGAGGCCGAGCTTGAGAGGAAGCGACTGTGGATAAACTGTTGCGTGATTTCGGCCCGCGGCGACCCGGGGCCGGCAACAAGAAGGAGGCTCGACGTCAATAACGCGGGACAGATTTTCGGCGCCGCTCAAGATCCAGGCGGTGCAAGGACGGGGCGAGGACGGGGCGAGGACGCCGAGGAAGCCGCGCGGAGGGATCAACGGATCGGCACGCAAAGAGGGAGGGCGGATATTGGAGCAGGGCCACACGTGAGAGGGTGGGTGCAGAGAGTGAGATTAGTGAAGGTGTGCCGGAAAGTGGAGGGGGAGTGGAGGGGGGAGGGGTGGGGCGGCGAGTGCAGGCGAGCGGCACGCCGGTCCGTGCGGCACACAGTGTGTGCGGACAGAGCGGCCTAATGGCGCATCAAATTGATCTCCTCGTTGACGGCGGCGCAAACAGGAAAAGTGTGTGATGGAATAAGTCTGCAACAAGTAGCGCCAAAAAGCAACGCTTCCCCACCAAGTAGACGCCGTCTTGAGAGCGTTTGGGCCGCGAAACGGGACCAGCTTTGCGTCGGGAAGGGGGAGGAGGCAAGAGTGCTTTATCATTAAGCCAGCACGCCAACTATTACGGTACTGCGCAACGCTCGCGCACACACGCCCTCACAAAAGACCAAAAACACACACACACAGGCACACCGGGCCCTGATGGGAGGGTGCGTGTGGGGTCCGCGCCGTGTGGCACCGTGGCTGAGTGGTGGGCCGAATCAGATTTGCCTTGCGATACGCACGCCGTCGTCCGTCCAATGCGGTGTATTCAAAAGGCGAGGACGCGTACAAAAGCACCAATCTTCTCTGCCTACACGTTTACGTCCACTTGCCGGCCCCCATCATCTGATGAGCCCCCCCCCCCCATAATAGAGAAAAAAGTATTCGTCATCGATTCGGAGAGAGCGCACAAGGCACAAGCGCACACCGCACTGGCCTCTGCGGCAAATGGACTCACAGCGATGGTCGTCGGATAGGAGAGGTGGCGGCACACAAACACGTGTCGCTGCCATTCACCGAGGGCGTCAATTTTTTAAGAGGTTTCGGTCGATCGGCACCGGTCCACGCCCTCCAGGCCCGCCCGCTGCCGCCCGCTTAGAGCGGCGCGCGCCCTTTACTTAGTTTGCAAGTTTGCGAAACTCGATCTGGATTCGATCCTGCGCGAGATGGCTGACGGCGCTGGCGGCGCGGCCGGCGCGCCCCGTGCAGATCGGATCATGTGGGAATGCGCGCCGGAAAGAAAACATCGTAAAGCAAGCCGTGTATCGCCAACTTGGCCCAAATCAGGCCGCCTAATTTATGCCACGCGCCCGTTTCCGCCACAATCCCTTCGGCCAACTTCTTCTCGCAGTGTCGGCAAAAATTCCCGCCAGGCGAACTCCCGGCCCGAAACTAATCATTTTTTGTGCCGGGTGGAAAGCTTCTGCTGCCTCAGGAGGAAGGAAAACAGTCGGGATCGACCGCGTCAAAGAAACGGAGAAGTGCCCCAGAGTTCGAAGGTACACAAGACATTGTGCCGCTACTTGCAAATTCCATTTCTGTTGCAGAGCCCCGCCTTCAGCCAGCCGAGGCCCCGGCGTGACAGCATAAGCCGAATACGCGTCGGCTCACCTCGGCTCGCCCGGGCAAACTCCCGCAGACCTCATTCCCAACTTGTTTTCGTCGCATGTCTGCACCGCACTCCATCCGTCTGCCCTTCAAGGACATTTTTCCCCCTCTTTTCCGACAGAACAGAGCAAATGTGCGCCGCGCAAGTTTGAAAAGACAAGACAAACAGAGGAGGCTCATTCGGCATTCTGGGCGGTGGGGGAGCCATCCCTTAAAGTCTCACCGCATTACCGTTTCTCGCGGCGCCGCGGCATACCTGGAAGCAGAGACACAAAATTGTTATGATTCTCCGAGAAAACAGAGAGGAATGATGAAACCAATCTGATTGCTCCTTGAGCGCGACAGAGACGGGACATTCGCCCATTCGAAGTGAGGAAGGCAGTGGCACGCTTGGCCAGCTCGCCATCATTAAAAGTTCGCTCAGCGATGCGGCGCGGCACGCCGGAGCCGGGACCCGCCGTGGCCAGTGAGCCCACCGCCCCGAAGCCCAGGCCGGCCTAAAATAATGATAGTGCAAAAGCAAACTTCCCTTGTGAAATATTTACGTGTATTTTCTTTTTCGGCCTGCTGCGTCCTCTTGTCCTCCCAGCCCTTTCAGTGGGGGTGGGCCTGCCTGCCTGGGCCTGCCTGCCTGGGCCTGCCTGCCCTTGCGGTTCGCCGTTCGGCCGACAATCAACACGGCTCGGCCTCGTAACGAAGCCAATCGCCGCCACCACACCGGCCGTGCCTGCCGTGCCCCGGACGGTGTTCCCAGACGCCCCGCCGAAAAACGCGCCCCCGCAGCATGGGGCGAATACTGGGTGACTGTCAGGCACGCAACGCACAGCAAGATGTAACAGCGCCGGATAATCCAAGGATAGCTATTCAGTGCACAGGGCCCGAAGGCAGGCAGCGCGCTCCGGCAGGGATTTCCAGTGAATTCCAGCAATTCCCCGCTGAGCAAATATGCTCGGATGGATCAGGGCGGCGGCAGTGCGTTCCTCACAAAAAATAGAATCGGCGAGCACACATCGTCCTATAGAAGGGCCTGCCTCTGTTCCCAAGGACCCCCCGGGGACCGCGCCGGACTGGGCACCTGGTCAAACAAGATGCTGTCCAGCGGGGCTCTCATTTCGGCGACCACTGCGTGCTCATCACAGCGACGACTGTTTTCGTAGCACCATCGGGGCACTCGGCACCGCTCTTCCATATGGACCACTCGGGGAAAAGCTCGAGATTGCGCCGCTCTAGGGTCGCCATCGGAAGCGAGCAAAAAGTTTCCGCAAAAAAAATACCGGGAGTGGAATAAAGAAGAGCCTGTGACATCCGGGCGCACTGCCTTGGCGCCTGCAGCCGTAATCCAAGTCCTAATTGGCTTATCAACTGGCCGAGTCGTTCGGTCACCTCATTTGAGTGCGCGATTTCATAACGTCGGGCAGAAAAAAAGAGGACCGCGGAGCAGAGTAACGAGAAGGAACAATCAAGTTTATGCGGAGCGTCGAGGCGGCCTAGGCGAAGGAGTGGCTCGACAGTGCACAAAGCAGAGTTTGACTTCATTATGACGGCGGCCGCGTCCGGCGCGTCCCCCAGGCCGGCAGTGACGGGGAGGAGGGCCATGAAGGGGCGCTCGGGGTATAATACGGCCTGACGTGTCTTATCGGGAAACCGCAGCGAGGGAGGGGGCAGCCGGGCTCGACTCTCATTCCGTCCATCTAAAGCTCGGCCGACCGGCCCGACAACTAGCTTCGACTCAAGAGAAAACAGCCCTCGCATTTCTACCCAAGTTTTTTCCCAATACCTCTGTGACGGCAAACTGTTTTTGCCTCATGTGACGAACACCTCCTGGGCGTGATTGCATTGTAGCATACGTCAGTTGCCAAGAGCGGCGCGCCAACTGAGACCCCATGCAGGCGACGGGCGCAAAAGAATGAAACGACATGACGTTTGCACAAACATAAGCTGTTCGATCAAAGAGAGTTTTTGCTACGGCCATCGCACGAAACTCAACGCGCATTGCGCCGCCGACCGTGACGGCTTGGCCCCCTGCTGCCGACAGCAAGGTCCAGCAGGGCTCCAGCCGCCACTAGGGGACACCAAGGCCCAGGCCCTTTCAAACCACCAACAACGCCCCCACAGAACGTGACGTCACGCCGCTCTCGACCAGCCTTATTGCTGAGTCGCGGTTGTCCACATTTCACGTAACGGAAAGCAGCGGGGTGCCTGGGGGTAAGAGGACGTATCGGCACTGGCGCTGTTAAAGCAAAACACTTGGGACGTTCAAGGCACTACATTTTGGTGACTCAAATTTCAGCGAACTAAAATTAAAACGCACCAATGAAGAGCGACCACAATGGCACGCCCTCAGCGCCTGTTGCGTCACTCAAAACCTGGCGGACGACACACTAGCCGTAACAAGCAGCCAAAGTGTGCGCAGGCGAGGAATTAGCCGTGGCCCCTAACAGTTTGCAACTAGTAGGATGGGTTTAAGTTGTAGTCCTGATGGAGCCGGTAATCCCTGCCATTG